CAGAAAGATATGTGGCAGAGGAGCCGGAGCACCAGCTGAGAGAGCGGGGGAAGAATCGGCGAGCCGTTCTGTGTAGCTGTGGGACCGACTGAAACATTTAGAGGAATTTCCAGCATAAAATATAAAAACCACGCGGGGAATTACAATAATTAATATGCAGTGGGAAAGAACTGCTCTGCTGAAAAGTAAAACATTGTTTTGATTTTATAAAACACTTTTTATTGAACTGGGCAGCGAGTTCCTGCTGATGCTGCTGGACATGGACGTACAAAGACCCACGTGTATGTGCCTGGCTGAGCTAATCGATTTATCCACAATATTTGTAGTTAATGTTGTAGTCAGCAAAGCAGGACTGTGGCAGCTTCACTTCCTTTAGGTTAGAAAGTATAAAGGGTGTCAAAAAGTATGAGAAACTGAAAATGAATCCAAAGCAAAAATAACTCCTGTCAGTGTGTGTGGGTTTGTTCTTCCTGGTTATGGAAAACACGTTCCTAGGATTGTGTGTCTGTTGCATATTATTGCTGCAAATGCTCCTGCCTGCCTACAGAGACAGTGGATAACTTGTGGAGTGCAACTTTTTTTCTAAAGAAACAAGAGGAAGCAGAGGGAGCAGGTGGAGCGAAGCAAGAACGATGTGCTGGATCTTTAAATGCACCGACTACACCTGAAGTGACACGAGAGGAACAGAAAGTGTTGGTGCTGCTTTCACACCGCTGCATGCCTAATGATAAATCCCCTCAGACCCGCCGACACACAGGAGGTCATTTCAGGTCGCACATCTGTGAATATAACAGGTTGCTGTTTTTGATGAAGAGCTTTTGTTTTCATGCTTTAATAGCCTTTTACCTACTTTTTCTTTTAACACGTAGGTTGAAGTGTTACATTTCCAGCATACTGAACACCAACTTCCTCAAATCATTTCCCCAATATGTATGCAACTTATTCTGTGTCAAATGAAACACGTGCAAAAAGGAAACACCACATTTAACATCACAATAATAAGTCTGATGAACTTACGCCAGCACACTCCCCAGCGGGCCTGGGACAACGGGCATAGTTTAGCCGGAGGCAGCAACCAGGTCACTGGATACTCTGTGCAGTTGTTTGTGGTGAAGCACCAGAGACACTGCAACAGACACACACATGTAAGGTATGATTCTGCTGAGTATAACAGTTAGGATGCATGAATAAAGAATGCCACAGGAATGATCCTTAAAAATAAACAGTCATTTCATTTGTATTTATTCCTACATGTGGGTGTTAAACGAGACTTTAGATTTCACCACACTAAACGTGGAATCTGTGACATTAAAGTCATGAACAGGGTTCAGTTTATTTACAGCACAGCGTTAATGTTTAACCTGTGCTGATTACATTTATGCTTCAAGTTTCATAAAAGTGACATCATTTTCTCTCCTTGTTGAACAAATAAGAATGTAAGTACCATAAACTATTTATTCGTTTATTATCTGCAGTTTGTTTTTCTGTCCCGATACTGCAGTCCTCTTCAGGATGTGAACATCATTTCTGTAGCACTTGATATCAGCCAGATATTAGTTGACGTGGATATTTTGCTGTCCAAAAAACCTCAGAAACTAAGTGATAATCGAACATTACTATTGGTTTGGATACTCCTCAGGAAAGTGTACCAGCAGACACAACCTACCTTACCACCGCCACAAAATCTTAAAAAAATCTTTTCAGTCCTTCTTACACTGAAGGACTGAAAAGTCCATTTCTGTGCATCACTAAGTGGAAATTATATGTAAATGACAGTGTGTTTAAAAACACAGGCTGGAGCCTATCCCAGTTA